AGGCGAGGATGCTGGGATACAACTCAGGGCACTTTCGGAACATGAAGCCAAAGCCCACTGAGGATGAAGTGGGTGGCTTCACAGGAAACAGTTTCCCTGTCATTGTGGTGGGCCGCTTGTTAATGGGATTGATCACACCATCCCCTCCTGACCAGCAGCAAAACTACGTGGAGCTCCTTTGGAAAGCATGGGAGCGCTGCAAAGCCAGAAAGCCACTGGGTGGACCGAACGCTTTGGAGCAACTGCTGGGACCTGGGAAGGGGCCAAAGCCGTGCGAGATCTAATTGGGCAAAAGCAGCAACTACCTCGTCAGGAAGACCGCCAAGGGAGCAGGCTGACAAATGAACAGTTTTTGATCCTGCAATACTGCCGGATCATCGATCACAGAGGGGCGGATGTGCGATTCGAAGCTGGCCTCCCATATGCGCCGCATCTTTTTGCTTGGATTTGGAAGGTCTTCCTGAGCTATAAGTGGAAGGACACATAAATGCCCTAGAGCTTGCAGCCATCCTCGACTTGTGCCGAAAGCTGGCCCGAAAGAAGGAGGACCATGACAAACGGCGGTTGCTGCTAGTGGATAACCAGTCAGTGCTCTCAATCATCGCGCGAGGTCGAACTTCGAGTGCTCGAATGCAGGGACCTTTGACGCGACTCGCCGCCGTGCTGCTTGCCACTGGAATGACCTTGGTGTTGGGCTGGGTCCAATCCGTGCTGAATCCAGCGGATGGCCCAAGCCGATGGCGCGGCAGAGCTTAGAGAACCACTACCACTACCACTACCACTGCCACTACCACTACCACTACGACGACTACTACTACTACTACTAGTACTACCACTAGTACTACTACTACTACTGCTACTGCTACTACTACTACTACTACTTCTACTTCTACTTCTACTTCTACTATGCTACTACTACTGCTACTACTACTACTACGACGACTACTGCTACTACTACTACGACGACTACTACTACTACTATTGCTACTACTACTACTACTACTATTATTGCTACTACTACTACTACTACTACTTCTACTATGCTACTACTACTGCTACTACTACTACGACGACTACTGCTACTACTACTACGACGACTACTAGTACTACTACTAGTACTACTACTAGTGCTACTACTACTACTACTATTACTATTACTATTACTATTACTTCTACTACTACGACTACTTCCATTATTACTATTACTATTTTTTCTACCATAACTACTACCACGATTATTACTTCGTCTACTTTTCGGCTACGAGTGCAGCTACTTTGAACACTACGACTAGTACGACTACTGCTACAGCTGGGTGGCACTACAATCGCAACGAATACCCAACCGTTCTAGATTGGCGGGAATGGAAATTCTTGTTCAAGGACATGAAACTAGGGGAGAGAGATTCGTGCGGACTCAAAGATGCCGATCTTTTTCTACCAGAGTTCTTGGGTGGACGACTCCCCACATGGCCTGTCGACGAAAGGTGTGACCACGCCATTTTCAATATATTAGATGGGAGAGTGACTGGGAAACTTGTACGGAAGTGTTACGAAAATTGTAACAATTTGAAAAAACACGGCATGTGCTCCACTTACACCATTCCTTAGATGGAGTGTTAGAGATTTGTCGGAGACACCTGTCTTCATGTCATGAGATTTGACTTACCGGGCTTAATCAGTAGCCCAAACTTTCAAGCGGAAAACATTGCTGCGTGCTTCTTATGTGTCATTTTTTACAGCGCAAAACCTGGTACACTAAGTCATGCGTTTGTTGGGGTAGGGTTGTCAATGCATGAGAAGAGGAAAAAATTGTTTTCAAAGAAGATCACACAATTTTTAAAGATGTGAACACAAATGCAGAACCTTCGATGGTTTTGGTGAAGATGCACTGGAGATGTCTCGAGTTCCTCTTCTGTAGAGTTACCGAGCTGAGTTTGGTTGTTCATCAATTGTGGAGCTCAAACAATGCAGGGCCCCAACGTGCATGTTTTTTTGATTCGTGTGCGATGCCTGTCCCAACAAAACCGCCAAAGGCATCATTTGCCTTTGCAGAGGTTGAATTTGAACTTCTGCGTGATGACTTCCTGGCCAAATTTGAGCGAGTCCATGCTCGCTTAAACTTGCTGGAGGCCAAGATTGAGAGACTTGCAAAGAATGGTGATGTCTCGGAAAGTGCCAGGATGGGTGATGGTGGTACGAACACTTGTGGAATAACCATTGGTGATGTTGCACGGGAAGGTCATGAAGCCGAACGGAATGAGTTGACGCTGCCCAACGATCAAAGCGAGGAAAGAACGGAAGGAACCGCAATATCCGTGATTGGTGGGTCGCTTGGTCAGACCATCGGTGCAAAAACAGACCTGACTGGCATCACCTGCTCGCTAGCGAGTGTGGCTGAAGATCCAGAGGATCAGCTGGGTTTGGTGTCCTTTTCGGAAAGTGCTTGGACCTACCCAGTGGTCATCGGCTTGGTCAGAGCAGGTGTAGTGGAGGCCGTATTTGCCGTGCTGCTGTTGCTGTTGAATCTCTTTATGCAAATGGCTTTTATGATCGTCATTCTGACCCCGGATTTCCTGCCGGGGGACATCACAGAACAAATTGTTTTTGCCAAGCAATGGCGCAGAAGCGTGGCCCATGACCATCAAAACCTGGACTTGGCCTCGACCAGTTTAGCTAGTCGAGTTTGCAATGGCGATGGTGCATTGATCGTCTCTACTCGACAGGCAACACTTCTTGAGAACATCGATAGTTATATGGGTTTGGCCATTGATGCCTTTGAGCCAGACTTCTTCCAACCTGGGGTCTTACTGTCGGTGCTATGCATTCTGCTTTGGAGTTTGTGTGTCTACAAGGAGCTGCGAAGCATCTTGCATGCTTTTGAAGCTGTGAGGTTGCTCCCACGCTCCGCCAGGACAATCTTGGATGGCAACGTCTTGCAGAGCCTATCCTTTGGCCGCTACAAAATGCTCAAGGCAACGTATCTCTTGCGAACTGCAATTGCAGTCTCGCTCTTGATATCTGGAATTCGGTGGCTAGCCCAAACGACATCGATCACAGAACCTTGGTTTTTCTTAGGGTGATGTCTTTCCTTCTCCATTTTATTAATCCCCTTTTCAGGGAGTATTTCTGGTGTTTCTCAGAGTCCTTCAGCAAATCCAAGGAACTGATGCTCAACGCAGTAGCCTTAAATGCCATTCTGGATGTGGACGAGTTTCTTTTTGCAGGTTTCACCCCAATGTCTATACATCTGGCCATTCAGAGGCTGGAGCCAATGCAGATGAAGTACACTGCGCGGCGCAACAAGATTGAAAGCTTCTTTCTATTCTTTGTGCTGCTTGTGACCTTCTTGGTGCCCTATCTGGTCCTTTTGAGGCCCCAAGCCGATGCCATGCTCTCTGTGAAGCAGGAGCTTTGTTTTGGCAATCAAACATTTGTGGTGGGTCAAAATCAGCAAAGCCAAGTGATTTTTGGCCTTGTGACCGAAGACATCCCAGAGGGCGGTCGACAAAATTCTGCTCTTTCGCCCATCGAACGTGCTGTAGACATTCACAAGTTCGCTGATCCGCATGAAGAGGCCTATTACATTGGCTTCGTGCAGAGTCGAAATGCCTTCGAAATTGAGAGGACTCGCTCCATGGCTTCTGAGGCTGCGGAATTCAACCTTTGCTTGGAGCAGGCGTACCTCACGGAAGGCGGGGAGTGGTATCAGGACGCAGCCGTCGGAGCGCTGACCATGTTTCGGCTTCGAACAGCTGCTGCAGTCCTGGGGCGCTTCGATCACATTACCAACTGCCAGCAGGTGGCAGACCTTTGCAACCTCCCAGAGGCGAGATTACTGCGGATGGTGTGTGGAGTGACCTGTCACTTGGAGTCGACGAGTCTTCAGCAGATCATGCACTTGTCATGGTTTTGGGTGAAGAAACACGGAAACCGCCAAGCTTGGGGTAGATTCTTTACTGTAATTTCCAGCTTTTCACTATCTCAGTTTCCATGACACGGGTTAGTTGATTTCCATCTTGGACATTCCAATTGGGATCGCTCGGGCAAGTAGAGCGCCGAGCACACACACACCCCGAGCGGACACCAATCCAAGGCGAGTGTTCCAATCCCTTTGCAAGCGGCTGGTACAAGGTTCTGTACCACGGTTGTTCAGAAGGTTGCTTGGAGATGGCCCGGCAAAGGTTGGCTTCTGAGGACTGTAAAGATCGGCCCATGGATGACACATGGATTCAGATGTGGGATGACTATTTGCCAACCCTTGCACATGTCTTGGGTAGTGGCATTTACCAATCTTCAGCCATACCCTACCTGGAAGCCTTAGTTGCAGCCATGAAGCTGGGTGGATGTGCTACCTTGAAGCAACCGCAGTTTCGGAACCTCATTGGCACTCAAACCTCCTGGTGCGAGGGGGATCCGGAGCTGGTGCGGCCGCTGGCCTGGACGTGTCCTGAAAGCTGTGATTGCACAGCCGCCAACGGCACCTCCTTGCCCAGTTACTGTCCGCGGAGTTGCGCTGCGTGAGGAGCAACGGCGGACGAGGTCCCGTGGAGCAGCCCAGCGACAAAGCGTGCTGTGTGGCGTTCACTGGGGGTTCACTAGCGCCAGAGAAGAGGAACGCGGAAAGAGGATGCAATTTTGCCGCCATCGGGTGAAGCCTGGATGGCACGGTTTTCGAGTGATTTGGATCGTTGCTGAACAGACGTTGTTTCTCTTCTCACGGTTTCCTGGGCGCATAGATTTGTGGAGCCGAGTATGGAGTTGGCCGTCAGTTGGCTGGGTTCATGTGTGGTTCCAGGATGTCGGACTATACTCATTCCATTCAGTAGCTCCAACTAACCCGTGATCTTGTTGGAACGCATTGTAGTATGCCGGCCCCACATATGATGAGCATTCCCAATATTCACCAAGTGTGGCGCAAGTGGGCAGTTGAACGAGTTTTTGTTCGGGGGCGTTACTTTCGACATGCCCCTATATATTCAGAATGCCCAAAAGACTTCCTTTTTGCTGAAAGGGCTACACAACATCTCAGAATCAATCTCGACCACATACAAAGATTTTGCCAAAACAGCGTTGCCTTTTTGGCTAGAGCTTGAGCTGCTCTTGAGCATTGAAGACGTGATTGCATGTCTCCAACTGCAAAGACCAAAGACAACTCTGGTCGACTGGGCATTGCTCGGCCACGTCGTTTTGATCAAAACGCCAAGTTGAGACATGTTAAGACGAAGAAGCGCATCCCGACCCCACGGGCTCCAGCAAGCCCTTCACCACCAAGCCCTTCGGCCCTTCACCACGGATGACTGGGAGAGCCATAGTTGCTTGCGAACGCGCCATGCCGGAGGCAGTTGAAGTCGACCCGTTTTCCAGAATTTGGATGGATGAGTTGCAGAACGTGTGTGGCAGAGGGGGGGTCCAGTCGATTCGGTCTGATGAACGGTGACCTTTTCATCCTTTCGTCAGGGAATATCCTTTGCTTCGGTCTCAAACATCGGCGTTTCCGTCGTTTCCTGGACTTCTTAGGGTATAGGTGTCACTGCCTTACACACTGATGTCAAGCCTGCTTGAAGTTGGAGGGGCAGCTAGGCTGTCACCGAAAGTCCTCTATATATTTATTCTGAGAAACTCTTCCCAAGTAGATGTTCCATTTGTCCGCACCTTTTTGGTGGAAACCAAACAAAAGGACACCTGTTTGTAAATCGCTTGAACCTGTGGAGTTTGACCAAAGGTGAGGTGAATCCCACTTGATCAACCCACGAATCCCGTTTTCCACCCGAGTCCTCGAACGACGGGCCGTCGGCCTCGTCGGGCCGTCGCTTGCGACGTCGCTGGCCGCCAGGGGTGAATGTGGCCGGCACCGCCATCGGTGTCCCCGGTCGCACCGGCCGTGACCCGGTCGGCGGACGTTGCGGACGTGAGGACTGCGGGACGTCGCGGCAAGATCCGAAGATCATGAGAAGATCGTGAGAAGATCGTGAGAAGATCATGAAGGATTGAAATGATTTCAAGTCTTTTCAGGCGCATTTGGTCAACGAACGTCTTGACACCACCCAAGATGCTGTTCCAGGTCGTTCCAGCGTCCAGCGTCGGGCCGGCCCGGCCTCGCACAGCCGAGGACGCGCAGCAAAGCGACCGATTCGCGCCGCTCGCGACCCTGGCATTGGCTGACCATCCTGGCAGGCGTCGAAGGTGGTGGATGTCCAAGAGGTCTAGACCTCACCAAAGAATGCAAAGATCCGAGAAAGACGAGCCGCGCCCCCCCCAAAAGACGATCGGACGTTTGAAGAACGAGTTGGACCCTTCCTGCACGGTATTGAATCTAACAGAATACGAGAAGTGGGATTCTTTTCCAACAGTTGACTCTGTCTAGTTGGCACATTGCAATGCGCAGCCAAGACTTTCCACTGCGTGTTGCAATCCCAATTTTTGGATCGCTTGCACGGTGAAGCCAAAACACTCCAATCTCGGTTTCCAAGTTTTTTGCCCTGCTTTCTTTTTTTTTAGTGCCTTGCACAAGCAAGAAAGCTGTGGCGATGTACGCAAGATCCATATCAGGACACCGTTACGAAACACTGGCAAGTTAGCTCCAAACTTATCAAGAAAGAATTATGCTCCAAACTTATCAAGAAAAATTGGAAACACCGGGAACGAGTCATATTGGGACCCGAGGATTCCTGACGCGTGCTAATCCACGCTGCCAAGCCGCGCTGCTAAGCCATGCGGGTGCGATGACGGTTCTTCTTGCGCCCTGAGGGCCTTAGTTCTCTCTCAACTCCCAGACCTTCAAATGAGAGGCCCGAAAGGCCGACCACGACTTGGTGGTGAGGCCCCTTGAAAAAAGGTGACCTGACTGAGATTGATTCTTTGACCGAGTGAGACCCGAGCACAACGACCGGACATTGATCGATGCCAGGCTGCCGTGTGGCGAGGGTCTCCCGTGTGGCGGTTTCGGGCGGCGAAGCCCAGAGGAGTTGAGTCCCAGGTCCCAGCGGGGCGAGTTTTCAAGGGTTGCAACAACTAGGAGTGGTTTTCTCGCATTAGCCTGGAAATCAAGGAGAGTCAGAAAAGGACAACCAGATCGCAACCCTCGGTGTGATACATTGTGCCGTTGCAGCAGTGTAGCAGCGGTGGCAAGGCAAGTGGTATTCATAGGCCGCGTTGTTGCCAGTTTGCATCTGCTTCAGTTCCGAAGGTATGCCCCCCAAATGTGGTCGGAAGGTTATGCATTTCACAAGGTAGGTTTGCTTTGACATTTGGCAAAACACAGTGTTCGCATCTGGTAAAGGGTGTGGCGTCGCTAAGGCGTGTGTTGAACCTAGTGGCTGTTCAGCTGGAAATGACAGAGACAACTTGCAGAAACCAGAATGCTTTCCCTCTACAACCAAGTGGCATCCTTGTGGATTACCCAGTTTGAGGAGACAGAGACATCTTGCAGAGACCATTCTCTACTCACCTGCAACGGGGACCACTAACCTGCACTTGGTCTTCCCCAAACTCTAGGGAACTTGAAGGTTACTGCTGCTCGAAAGGGGGAGCGCTGGTCACCACAGTGGCCACAGGTAGACACTGACATGACAGAGCCCACTAATTCTCCGCAAGTCACTGGGAGTAGAAGTGCAAAAACAACGAGGGAGCAGAGAAGGAAGGCGCAGACACGAACATGCCAGCTCACAACCCTATGTGCCCTTGGGTATTCTTTTCTCTGATCGCAGTGCTCCACGGCGATTGTGCATGCTCCGACCGACCAGACTGGCCGATGCAAGTGTGCTAACAGCATTGCTAGGAATCGGAGGCCACTGATTGCGTGTAGTTCAGTCACCTCAACGACAGCCTCCTCCTCCAGGCCCGCAGGCAGCTGTGACAGGCATCGCCTGACTTGCTCAGTAGGCCTCTGCCGTGTCCTGCATGGTAGTGGACTTACTGTAGAAGCCAAGTGACACTGAATCTTCTGCGGTAGACATTCCATCATATTCCATCATAATTCATCATGATTTGGTCAACTTCTAAGAGGTGCAAATCTGCAAAGGACGGACATTGATCCTTTAAACGATTGAATTCCTTTTCCACAAGCAGACAAGTGTCCAATGGACAACTCGACGTCAAGACGCTCCCTCAACAATAGCGCTTTTTCTCTCTCTCTCTCTCTCGCGCAGATCATCCCCCAGAAAGTTGATCCTACGAAACATGGTGCTAGTTGATGCGTAGGGCAATTGCATTGAATGGTTTGGATTCAGTCTGTCCGAAGAAGATTGCAAATCTTTTGGTTGTGAAGAGAAAGCGATCATCATTTACGAGGTTGAGCTAGCGGCTGCAGTTCTTGCCTTGTCATTGTGGCATGAAAAGCTTTCGGGAAACTTGGTGATATGGTTTGGCGACAATGATAGTGTGAGGTTCGCCATGATTCGAGCAACCAGCTTGGGCAAGTGGGCGGAAGCGTTGATGTGCTTCACTTGAACTTGGAGGTTGAGATGAATACAAAGGCTTGGCGAATCCGAGCGACTTTCCATTCGAGATTGTGTCCTCATCCACTTTTGATTTCCAATGCTGACACATCGTCGGTTGCCACAGCTGCCTTTGACTCCTTAAGGACCTTGTTGAAGGCTTCGATGGATCGCTCGATATGAATTGGGGAAGGGAGACAAGACCGAGCCACCACCCAGTTTCGAAAAAGAGGTTGCTGAGCTTTTCATACAGTGTGTTCAAGACACCAAACTTTGTATATAGTGACATTGTTGTATCGTTCCTGCTTGTGTTTCCATGGCGTGTTCCTGTGTTTTGTGGAGCGACAGCATCTGTAGCCCAGTTGCTTGGGTCCGTTTGATTGTCCACTTGCACTGCCTGGAGGATGGCTTTAGTTAGTTTTAGTTTTGTGAGTAAACGTGTGAACATTGAAACGCGTTTGCTTGTATAGGCAACCCTGGCTCGAAATTCAATAAAGTTACTTCACATCTAACTGCTAATGAAAACCATGTAAGCCAGCAAATTCAGCACGTGGCCAGGGGCAGTTTCCCAAAGGGAAAGGACATCATCCATATCCACATCTTGTTGTAGGTTGTGGGTCACATGTGTTGTCCAGGAAGCAATTCAGCGTGCCATGGGGAAGGATGACGAAGTCATGCCGTTTTCCGAAAGGCCAGTCGACTGCAAAAGAAATCTGGCGTATCAACATTGCCAATATGTCCTTGTTGGATCGCCTCCTGATTTGGTAGGCCCGCTTCCAGTGGCAGGCGCAGCATGGTCCGGCGGTGTGATGCGACGTGTGGGTTGAAGTGCTTTTGGCCACAAAACGTAGTGGTTTGATCCAGCAACCAACGAAAAGAGGCAACAAGTCAGCTACAGATTGCAGACACGTCATGTACGTACTGAGAATTGCGGAACCCTAGGCAACACCAAGAACGGGTGGCGAGTCGGAATTTGCGTCAATAAATTTTTCAATCCACCGGCCTGCCTTGCCGAAAAGGGGCTTTGCATCGCCGCCCGAATCACCTCAGGCAGCACAATTCAGGTGCTGAAACAAACTGTCATATGAGTCATATATAATGAAATTCACATCGCCAAATACTTGGAACGCCTTGTGCCCTGCCTTCCACACCAGGGTAGAACTGCCAGCAGCTTAGAGGCATCGGCCATAGGCCTTTCGTAATCTGGGACTGCAGACACTAGACTCTAAAGCACGTAGATAGTTGTGGCATAATTGATCATATATTTCTAGGTTTTGAGTCTGTTCGGAGTATTTTTGGAACTATGCATGGGCAGATTCCAGTGACTGAATGTGGTCCTCCCATCCTTGTTTGATAGCAACTGGCTGGTTTAGACTTGGATAGAATTCAGTTGGAGATGGAGGGTTTGCGGTTTGGGATTCTTGATTTGACCTCCAAATTGCCGGCCCTTTACTGTTCCTCGATCAGCTCGTGCTTGGTGGATTGATCGCCCTGGACAAGACAGACTCGACGCTGTTGCTGAGGCCAAAGCCAAATGACCCGAATTTGAAATGCCAATCCTTCAGGCGACTGGTTTTGCATCTCGCCTGTTTTTGAAGGTGTATTTTACAATCTAGCGTGTATGAATCCATACAATTTTTCATTGCATCGCCACCACAGCCACATCGTAGCTCCGACGCGGGCCATCGCTGCGAAGATTTGGTCTCACGATTGCATCTTCGCCGTGCACAGGCCAGCTTTGCAGGCCCATGGGCTTCGGCTTCGGCGCTTTAGATGGCACTGGTAATTTCCTTTGACTTGATTTGTTTTTGATCTTGGGGAAATCCAAAGAGATCGAAATCCAAGTATTTATATACAATTGCTTTTGCTTTCCATTGCCCTTTGGTTGCTCAGTTTCTCCATGAAATCCTCATCACTATCCGCCCAAGTGTTTGGTGAGCAAGGGTCCTGCAATCTACAAATTTGAATCAAGGCAATTGGCTGTTTTGTTTGGGCAATGGACGTCCCAATTCATCCAATTTGCAGTCTTTGATTCTCAGGGTCCAGTGCGCCACACAATCCAAGACGGCCTGCCGACGTGCAGGATGCAAAGTTCAGAAAGATATTTAAACACTTCCAGGCACGGGCTTGCCAGTTTGCAATCTACTTCACTCCTTCTAGGAAAAACTTATTGGGTCACGGACTAGACCTTAAGGCCTTATACACAACCTTGTAAAGCAAGAGTCTGACATGACCTTGAATGAGAGCTCAAAGCGGAAGCTGACAGGTGTTCACCTCGAACAAGTCTCATCCATTGCAAAGATAAGATTGCGCCCGGCAGGAAAAATCTCCAGTTATGAAAGCTTCAAAGATGGAGAATGCCATGCAAGTGTTGGGATTGAACCCAACGCCCGCGCAGGCGACAGTGGGTTACTATAATGTTTTTTTCCCCAAACAGTTACTCTTGGGGTTCTATCTTGGAAAAAATCAAGCTGGCCACACTCACTGGCCGCGCCCCTGAACTCTGTGGCTGGGCTCTGTGTCCAGGCCTTGTCCTCCTCTTGTCCTCTGTGGCTGGGCTCTGTGTCCAGGGCTTGTCTCCTCTTGTCCTTTGTGGGTGGGCTCTGTGGCTGGGCCTTGTCCTCCTCTTGTCCTTGTTTTGGCCGCGCCCCTGAACTCTGTGGCTGGTCTCTGTGGCCCGGCTTACTGGAGAGGAGTGTGGCCGAACAAATAGCGATGTCAATGCCGACAAAAATTCATTGATGAAGTTGGGGTGAAGGTAATTAAGGCGTACCAAAAAATCGTTTTTGACTAATATTGGTCTAAACGAATCGTTTTGAAGCTGTTTGGGGTCTATGCTGGTATAATTTGTAGATAAGATACATGTTTAAACTGAATTGGGAATAATGTTCTCAAACTTTAAGCGATAAAGATGTATATAACATCTTGGAAACCGGAGTGTCACGCTGCTCGGCCAGGCAGCTGCTAGACATGACTGGACCCCCAACATGGGTTTGTCAAGAGATGTCGTCAAGATGTCACAAATCAGAGTTTCAGAGAGTGAGACTTGAGCAGTTGGCCAGGTCTGCGAGCTTTTACATCGTGTGGGCCAGCCTGTCGTCCTCAACTTTGAAACCTTCAGCCAAGCAAAGAAGGAGACCGGAGCGATAGAAACTATGTGACCGCAGCCATGAGGAGTGGCACTTGTTTCTAGAGGCGAGCAGTAGGTGTTGAGGCCTGTGCTGACAGTCAACATCAGTGCCCCGTGTTTTGCATATGACATCTTGCTGATTCCAGGTTTGACACCGTGGATGCCCGAACGCTGGTTGGTACACGCTAGGTTTCTTAAGCCTTAAACACGACGTCATTCCCACAGTTAGGGACGATGGATATTCTGTGGAAGATCTGCCTGACTCTCCCCCTCTAAGTCGAAGATTCCACCGTGGACCGTTTTGTGTTTCTTCGAAAGCCCGCTTGATTGTCTTCACACCAAGTGCAATTGTCCTTCAGCTTCAACTTGTCATCCTCAAGTACAGGGAGTCACCCATCACCATGGCATCCATGTGCCTGAGCAACTCGGCCTCGGCACTCGACAAAGGTGCCAAAGGCCTGCCTAACGGAAAGGTTGCACATAGATATATAAACCAAAACCGGATAGGTAAGCCAATCCCCAAACTGCAGCGCCACCCTCTGCTCCTGGGTGGAAAAGTTCGGGAGATCCGAGCTTCTCAGCTCCAGAACCGCAGACGTGTGCGGTGGTAGATCAGGTGGGCCTCCCCCGTCACCTAGAGAACCGTGCAAGCTCCTCCGGCATGGACAGTACGGTCCAACAGGGTTTGTATTCTTTTCTCCAGCCAATAACGAGTCACGGAGCCTCTTCACTTCTCGAACAAACGTCTCTTCAGCCTTCTTCACAGTACAGGCTCTGAATCTAAGTACTCACCTTAGGGGCACTTCCTCTAGGAATGATTTCTTTTTCAAGCAATATCAAGCATGCTTTCCACCACGTAGCAAGTAATCGCCTTTCACTTTCCAAATCAAGATATTATCCACCGACATTTTTTCATGTCATATGAGTCAATCTCTTTGCCCTCACCCTTTGAACCCACTGCGACTTTCGCACTGTTGCAGGAGGCACTTGCATGCTGGGCGCAACCGGCTGAGGCCAGGGCACCCATGTCATCACACTTGGAGAAGTCAGGTGTGTGCAGCCAAGCTGGTGGGCTGGATGATGACACCGGATGACACCTGACTTTGAGAACGCACCAACTGTTTGCATGTCCTGGAAGGCCCAGGCGGCGGAACTTCAAAAGTGTTTTGAGGATTTCGATCCGCAAAAGACTGGTGTCTTGGAAAGCAATGCCGGATGCTTTGAACCTATTATTATCTATTATTTTTTGGGCACACCTCTTTTTGGAGCACCCGGTGGTATATTTCGATCATTTTGGAGGGCACCATGACTATCTCCCGGGCCGGGGTTAGGAGATCGTCCAGCTTTGATCCCAACTTTGGTGTTGTCCACATTATGAATGTTAGTATTGTTAGTGCATGAATGTCGGCTCTAACAGAAAGTCAAACAAGATGGAACCCACGAACCCGAATGATATGTCCACAGGACACTCTTGTAGGACACTCTTGCGGGACACTCTTGTAGCACACTCTTGTGGGTCACTCTTGTAGGAAACTCTTGAGGGACACTCTTGTAGGACACTCTTGTGGGACACTCTTATAGGAAACTCTTGTGGGACACTCTTGTGGCACACTCTTGTAGGACACTCTTGTGGGACACTCTTGTAGGACACTCTTGTAGGACACTCTTGTCGGAAACTCTTGTGGGTCACTTGCGGGACACTCTTGTGGGACACTCTTACACGACACTCTTGTAGGACACTCTTGTGGGACACTCTTGTAGGACACTCCTGTTCGACACTCTTGTAGGACACTCTTGCGGGACACTCTGCGGGACACTCTTGTGGGACACTCTTGTGGGACACTCTTCTAGGACACTCTTGTGGGACACTCTTGTAGGACACTCTTGTCTCTTGTGGGACACTCTTATAGGACACTCTTGTGGGACACTCTTGTGGGACACTCTTGTAGGACACTCTTGTGGGACACTCTTGTGGGACACTCTTGTGGGACACTCTTGTGGGACACTCTTGTGAGACACTTTTGTGGGACACTCTTGTGGGTCACTTGCAGGACACTCTTGTGGGACACTCTTAGGAAACTCTTGTGGGACACTCTTCTAGGGCACTCTTGTGGGACACTCTTGTAGGACACTCTTGTGAGACACTCGTGTAGAACACTTGTGTGGGTCACTTGCAGGACACTCTTGTGGGACACTCTTACACGACACTCTTGTAGGACACTCTTGTGGGACACTCTTGTAGGACACTCTTGTAGGAAACTCTTGTGGGACACTCTTATAGGACACTCTTGTGGGACACTCTTGTGGCACACTCTTGTAGGACACTCTTGTAGGACACTCTTGTGGGTCACTCTTGTAGGAAACTCTTGTGGGACACTCTGTGGGCCACTCTTGTGGGACACTCTTGTGGGACACTCTTGTAGGACACTCTTGCGGGACACTCTCGTGGGACACTCTTGTAGGACACTCTTGTGGGACACTCTTGTAGGACACTCTTGTGGGATACTCGTGTAGAACACTCTTAAGGGACACTCTTGTGAGACGCTCTAGTGGGACACTGTTGTGGGACAGTCTTGTAGGACACTCTTGTGGGACACTCTTGTAAGACACTCTTGTGGGACACTCTTCTGGGACACTCTTGTAGGACACTCTTGTAGGACACTCTTGTGGGTCACTCTTGTGGGGCACTCTTGTAGGACACTCTTGTGGGACACTCTTCTGGGACACTCTTGTAGGACACTCTTGTGGGACACTCTTGTGGGACACTCTTATAGGACACTCTTGTGGAACACTCTTGTGGGACACTCTTGTAGGACACTCTTGTGGGACACTCTTGTAGGACACTCTTGTGGGACACTCTTGTGAGACACTCTTGTGGGACACTCTTGTGGGTCACTTGCGGGACACTCTTGTGGGACACTCTTAGGAAACTCTTGTGGGACACTCTTCTAGGACACTCTTGTGGGACACTCTTGTGGGACACTCTTGTGGGACACTCTTGTAGGACACTCTTGTGGGACACTCTTGTGGGACACTCTTGTGTGACACTCTTGTAGGACACTCTTGTGGGACACTCTTGTGGGACACTCTTGTGGGACACTCTTATAGGACACTCTTGTAGGACACTCTTGTGGGTCACTCTTGTAGGAGACTCTTGTGGGACACTCTTGTGGGACACTCTGTGGGACACTCTTGTGGGACTCCTTGCGGGACACTCTTGTAGGATACTCTTGTGGGACAGTCTTGTAGGACACTCTTGTGGGACACTCTTGTGGGACACTCTTGTAGGACACTCTTGTGGGATACTCCTGTAGGACACTCTTAAGGGACACTCTTGTGAGACACTCTAGTGGGACACTGTTGCGGGACACTCTTGTGGGACTCTCTTCCAGCTCCCCAGATACTCCGCGTACTAAAGTTGTACTACAAGGTCGCCAGTTCCCAGCTTCCAGCTCCCCAGATACTCCACGTACTACAGTTGTACTACAAGGTCGCCAGTTCTCAGCTTCCAGCTCCACAGATTGCTCCGCGTACTAAAGTTGTACTACCAAGTCACCAGTTCTCATCTTCCAGCTCCCCAGATACCCCGCGTACTAAAATTGTACTACAAAGTCGCCAGTGCTCGCCTGCATTTCGCGCGCTCGACACGCACGATCTCCGCAGAGGGTTGCGCGGGCACCGGACAAATCGCACTCTCGCCTGCGTTTCGCGCACTCGACACGCACGATCTCTGAAGAGGGTTGCGCGCGCATGGGACAAATCGCACTCTCGCCTGCATTTCGCGCACTCGGCACGCGCGATCTCCGCAGAGGATTGCGCGCGCATGGGACAAATCGCACTCTCGCCTGCATTTCGCACACTCGACGCGCGCGATCTCGACAGAGGGTTGCGCGTCAAGTCTCCAAAACGAGCGTTTCGTTCGAGACTTCCTCAAAAACTCACACGTCAAAGTCTGCAAAACGAGCGTTTCGTACGAGACTTCCTCCAAAAGTCCAGCGGAAACACCCATCGGAGCACACACATCACGCAGCCCTGCCAAGCAGTTTCGCGATTCCAGCCCCTCCAAACAACATCCGCTCACACGCCAATCCCAATGGGACAGCGACATTCACCTCTACCACAACTCACAACCTCACGATTCCCTGCGCCTGCCACGAATCTTTCTCCATCCGCACGTCTAACGCGCACAAAGTACTGCGCCTGCCACGAAATGTCACCTCCCTCACACCTCGCAACCTCACGATTCCCTGCGCCTGCCACGAGAATCGCACTTCCACGCTTCAAAGCCCGCACGAAGTCCTGCGCCTGCCACGAAAAGTGACAATATCATCGCATGTGAGCTTCAACAAAATTTGCACCACGCCACACGTTTGGAATGATTTCGACCCGTTCAGAGCACACTCCCATCCACCAAAATCGCCATTTCAGCTGAGACTTGTTACGAAAACAGAGCTTCGACGCCACACCCTGAAACGCAAATCCCAATGGCACGGCCACATCCAACACCCCAAAAACACGACTCTCCAAACGCTAATCCCAAAGGCACTGCGCAGCAAACTGCGGATCTCACAAAACGCTGCGCCTGTGCAGCGAAATGCATCACGTTTCTTGCGCGACATGTCGGTGTCATGCCAATCACAATGGAATTGCGGCGCAAACTGACACGTGACACATCCATGCAAAGGTCACTTGCAAAAGCTTTCCCGAATGGCAGCAAATTTGAGACGCGACGACCCCAATGGCAGCAAATTTGAGACGCGACGACGACGACACGACGACGACAAACGACGACAAACGACGACAAACGACGAGAGACGACGACAGACGACGAGAGGACGCAAGCCACGCGAACACAGCTCCAACCCCCAGACCCCCAACTATAAACGGGAACCCTTCGCTATGCATTCGGGAAAAAGGATGTTTCACCTTTGCATCGGGTGTTTGAAAGTTGATCATCCCACCTTTGAGGTCAACAGCTTCCAGCTAATTATTGTAGTCCTTTTAGACTACGGCCGTGCTCATATCTCACCACGTGCTTTCCCACTTCAACGTACGTCCAAACTGCGTTATGAGGCTTTTTGCAGCGGGCGACGATTGCCACAATCATGGGCCGTGGCCTTTGTGGTTGATAGGCACTTCGAATTACGACGGTCAAAGCGTGAATTTGTGCGTTGACAGCCGTGGTTGGTAGGTTTTCGTTCAGTCTTTGTCCTGACTGGTGCTTGCTTCCCCCTATAACTGCTTACCAAGTGTTTTTTGAGCAATTGGAACTACCATACCATGCCACACTTTGCTATCCTTTGTTTGTGCCGGCTAAGGCGGAACGTTCTCAGAAGAGCAATTGGAGGAGACTCTTCTTTTTCAGCATGTTGTGTCCACCTTGGAGTCACAGATAGTCTGCGGACGTTCTGTGGTAGTAGGACTGTATACCTGCTATGTTCTGACTTGACATTACTTCCCGGGCCCCTGTCTGAATTTTAAGCAAGTCAGTCGCACAAAAATGCACCCGGCAGACACGCTTTGGAACTTGGCATTTTGAGATTGAAGAATTGGACGTTTTGACACCGCTGCACGTTTACTTAGGCTCACATTCTAATTTCTCGAGTGTGTGAGGTAGTATTCTGAGGGAGATTCGACTTAGACACTGAGTGTGGCAATATCCTTGACACGCGACATGTTGCCAAGAAATAAGAACAAAACGAGTTTCCCCGCTATTCAGCAGTTTGTTACTCAACAGTTTGTTGTCACTTGCACTGGTTTGCTGTCAGAGGAGCTGTTGAGCGGAACCAGACTGACAAGCAGCTTGGCCTCGGACCAGCTGTGCATTTGTGATACCAAGACACGCTGTTCCGAGCCAGATGATGTAAAGTTTGCGTTTATTGCACGTTTAGAGTGGCACAACGTGTGCTTCTATGTAAGTTTTATGATCAAAGAACACTCGTCTGGATTTATGTCTTCGCGTGACCCTAGTAGCGAGGAGAAACCACATACGTCAAGGGCATGCAGTGAAGCTCATGGTTTGCAGAATTGGAATTTCCAAAGTGATTTGAAACCGTGATTCGGCCAAGATGGCAATTCCAAGTTTTAACTAAAACACCTTTGTACTGGACATTGTTCCCCAAACAGCTTTCCTGTGAGGGGCATAGAAACGATGCTGGCCAAGATGATTCCCGCCCTTTGTCTCCCCTTGTCTCCCCTTGTCTCCCATGGCGTGTCTGGATGCTGGGCTGAGATGATTTTGCTTTGTCTCCCTTTGTCTCCACTTGTCTCCCATGGCATGTCTGGATGCTGGGCTGAGATGATTTTGCTTTGTCTCCCTTTGTCTCCCTTTGTTGGGCCTCCCGTTGTCTCCCCTTGTCTCCCATTGCATGTCTGGATGCTGGGCTGAGATGATTTTGCTTTGTCTCCCTTCGTCTCGCCTTGTCTTCCATGGCGTGTCTGGATGCTGGGCTGAGATGATTTTGCTTTGTCTCCCTTTGTCTCCCATGGCATGTCTGGATGCTGG